GATGCAAAATGTCCCATATGCACGCTGTGATGAAACTAATGTCAGATAGAAAGGTAAAATTTAAAGATTGATTTTATAACCATTCAGAAACACATATGTATCTTATGTGACATTTTCAACTAAACGTGGAATCCATTTGAGAATACCTTTTTCAGAAGGGGCACTTTAGTGAATGACGTGCCGCATCCAGCCAGGATTATTTTCCAACCATCGAGCTGAATAATTGATTGGTTGTCATTTAAGCTCAGTAACGAACGGAATGCAGCATTTCCAATATCCATTGTCTAACTCTGATATGGATAGATGCTACAGCAGTATTGAATACAAAGTAGATTTTTTTCCACATCCGGATTACCATAACAACCATCGAGAGCTAACAAACCATTCAACACATTTGAAGAGTGGCTACACAGTTGCCCATATGTGTCGTACTGTGCCGTGTAGTTAAAAGACACGTGGATTGATTACTGCTTCGAGCGCTTGAAGGCCGAGAAGCTATCGCTTCTAATCGCAAAAACATCCCACGTCAGTAAGGATCCCACCTACGTTTGGAGCATTTATCAATCTCTTGAACATCACACGAAGATAACCGAGAGTAGAACACAGTTGTTTGATGTTCCCAGCACGTTATGATCTAATGCTTTCGTGGACTCGGTACGCCGCATAAGCACATGTGAGTATCTGGAAATATGAAGTACCTACCCCAGGATAAAATGAAAGATTACAATCAGGGCTGTGGGGAACGAAACTTACATATGCTTCGTTGCTGGGATCAAACGCCACATGTTAAGAAGGGGAGCCGGCTTAACAGCAAGGTAATATGCGGTGGTAATGCTTTCTAGGACTCACTCAAGCAAGTAAGCGGACAATTTTCTGTCGGCTTGAGCTTAATTAGTCGTATAATCCTATATCGCTACCAATGTGGGTTTAATGAGCGATGTTTGAGTACATTCATTAAATTAAGAGGAAGATTAAGTTGCCTTATTGAAGTTTGAAAGCAAACGTTTTATTTTTGCAAAGCATCTGCAATTCAATTTCATGATTTTAAATTTATATTATTGTGTGAATTTTTCACCCTTCTTACATACAATTGTATAGCATACATAGGGTTAACTACCCCAATTTCGGCCTATTAAGCACAACCCGCCTTAGTCTTTCTTAATCTAGTGCAGTTTAGCACCAAACGGAATGTTATAATTACTGATGGCTTCCAAATATATTTACCTTTCTGTACGTACCGTAAGATTTGATAAAGAGGAACCAATCGTTGAGATATTGTCAAAAGTCTAACACTGCTTCTTGACGCCAAACTCGGCCTACGGATTCTAAACTCGGCCTAACGCATTGAAACGCCATTGGAACGCAAATGAATTCACTTCGGGCTATCGGATGAAGATAAAAATTGATTCGGTCGGAGCGCTGCTTTTGTTTTTGTGAATTATAGGTGCAAACCTTCATATCACGCGTTCTCATTGACTTCGTTCGGTAGCTTATTAACTAAAGTATCGTACCAAACTCATAATTGACTTGTTAACTCAGAAATCATGGAAAAATTTAGTGATGCACGATAGGCTCAAAATGGGCGATTAGGCCGAAGTAGTTCTCTACACACTTAGAAAATATCTCCGACTTCGGTATTTTTTTTTTACTGAAACTATTCGGTAACAGCAAAAATAACAATTCTTTCGGTAGTTTTATCAAATTTTACCGAAAAACCTTTAAAAATAGGCATAATGTTGTGGTAATCTTTTGCTTTACCGAAATTCGTCTAAAATTCACCGAAAATATTGTAAAACTTTTTAATTGCCGTACACTGTAATTTTTTAACCGAAATATTGTAAATTAGGACAACGTTTTACCGAACTATCCGTAACTCAGCTTTACCTTGTCAACCATTTTAATTTTCATATTTCACGTCAACTGCTGCTTCGAGAAGTTTCTTTTTTAAATAAAAGGGAAAAAACAGTGAAAAAAACATGGAAGCGGTATTTAATGATCTGCATCAGCTGGATGAACGTCTGGTACACATTTTCCGTAAGTAATACACTTGCATTTGTCTAAAAGTTCTTCCTTTAAGATTGCAATTAAATGTTTTCTGTGCGGGGCTGAAGTTCCAAATTACGTTTCCGGTTTGCAGCGTCACATCACTGAACATATCCGGAAAAATGAACTCAATCCTTCTCAGGTGTATTTTGATTGCACTTTTAATCATTGCGGCTCCCGTTACGGAAGCTTGTATGCGTTTAAACGGCATATTTTAGAAAAACATCCAGCTTGCACTCGCCAAAAGTCTCAGAGCCAAGAACCTCAAATTCAAAACAATATGAATCATTCAATCTTGCCACCGGAATATACGACAGATGCAAACAATGAAGATTTGGATCCCAACATCTCGCTCAATGAAATTAAAAGGATAATTAACATCAGCATTTGCAAAATAACGTACGATGTTGGACTCCCACAGTCTCAAATATCAGAATTTACAAAAACGTGTGAAGCAGTTGTAAAGAATGTAACGGAGTACTTAGAGGCAACTACTCTGAAGTTTTTGAACTCCCAAAATTTGTTTCTCAATTCAGAACAAACTGTTTCCTTGCGTAACTTGTTTCAACTAAATCAACTGTTTGATCAGGTTAACACTTTTCAAAAACAGAAAAAGTTTCTGAATGAATTATCAGTATCAGCTCCGGTTTCAAGGGATATTTTGTTGAACCGTCGAGAAGATGTTTGCCACATCAATTCTGTGCCTAAAACAATCCTGGTAAACGAAACTGCATCATATATCAGCCTGATAGATACTTTAAAGCTGATTTTTCGGAATCCGGAGAATCGGAAGCATCTGGAAGAGGCTTTTTTGTCGTCCGAGAGCATTCCATGTGTAACCGAATACAGCTCTTTCCACTCCGGCGAAACGATCAAAACCAACGAATATTTTCAAAAATTCCCTAATTGCGTTCGTTTAAGTATCTATCAAGATGACGTTGAACTTGGCAACGCTTTGAGCTCAAGAGCGGGGATTAATAAAGTTTCGAACTTTAGCTTCAAAATCCAGAATTTTCCAGAAAAGTGGAATAGCTCCACAAGGACGGTATTCCCACTAGTGCATTGCACGAGCATCGATGTGAAGAAAAACGGATATGCCAGAATCCTCGAACCATTGATTTCCGATTTAAAGGCACTAGAAGAAGGAATCGAAGTTTATTATGGAACCGAAAAATTTATGCTGAAAGCAGTTATGACCATATTTTGCGGTGATACGTTGGCAGTTCACGACGTTTTCGGCTTACTTAGCCCAAGTGCTAATTTATTTTGCAAAATATGCCAAATAACCAGAAAAAAGTTTCATGAAGATCCATTTTCAGAGCATGCCCTCAAAGATAAAGACTGGTATGACCAACATCTTTCTTTGGTGCAGAATGGATCAATAACTCCTAAAGAATGTGGGCTAAAATGTTCAGGATCTGTTTTTAACGATTTACAATATTTCCACATTACTGATAACTTTGCTCTGGATGGAATGCATGATTTAGCGGAAGGAGTAATTCCTCTGACGATCCAACTGGTTTTATATCATTATCATTATCATTATGGTTTTGGCTGCATAAAGGGTGATACGGTCAAAATTTGGTCAATATCAACTTGACGTATTTCTTTCAATTTTGCATTTAAAAAACCTGAACACCCCTCATTTTGAAGGTGTGTGTGTGTAGAATGTTGCTCCTATTTTGATTTTGGAATTCACTCTTCAGTTGTCAAAATGCCGTCCAAGCAAGAAGAGCAGCGTATCAAAATTTTGCTCGCGCATCGCGAAAATCCGAGCTACTCGCACGCAAAGTTGGCAAAATCGCTAAAAGCTGCCAAATCAACCGTTACAAATGTAATTAAAGTGTTTGGGGAACGTTTGTCGACAGCCAGGAAGTCTGGATCGGGGGGCAATCTAAAACCGGAAGCCACTGAGACGACAAAGAGAGTTGCCGGTAGTTTCAAGCGAAACCCTAACCTCTCTCTCCGAGATGCCGCAAATAAGCTGGGTGTATCGTCTACAACCGTGCATCGAGCCAAAAAACGAGCCGGACTATCGACTTACAAGAAGGTAGTGACTCCAAATCGCGATGATAAACAAAATACGACGGCCAAAGCGCGATCCCGGAGGCTGTACACGACGATGCTGACGAAGTTTGACTGCGTGGTAATGGACGACGAAACCTACGTCAAAGCCGACTACAAGCAGCTTCCGGGACAGGAGTTTTATACGGCAAAAGGAAGGGGAAAGGTAGCAGATGTTTTCAAGCACATGAAACTGTCAAAGTTCGCAAAGAAATATCTGGTTTGGCAAGCCATCTGTACCTGTGGCTTGAAAAGCAGCATTTTCATAGCTTCCGGGACTGTCAACCAAGAAATTTACGTGAAAGAGTATTTGAATAAACGTCTGCTGCCTTTCCTGAAGAAACACGGTTGTTCCGTACTGTTTTGGCCGGATTTGGCATCTTGCCATTACGGTAAAAAGGCCATGGAGTGGTACGCCGCCAACAACGTGCAGGTGGTTCCCAAGGACAAGAACCCTCCCAACACGCCAGAGCTCCGCCCAATTGAGAAATACTGGGCTATTGTCAAGCGGCACCTAAAGAAGACAAAAAAAAACTGCTAAGGGCGAGCAGCAGTCCAAGGCAAACTGGCTTTCTGCGGCGAAGAAGGTGGACAAGGTGGCTGTACAAAATCTGATGGCAGGGGTCAAGCGTAAGGCCCGGCAATTCGGATTTGGAAAAGCGGAAGCCTAACTGAATATTTTTCCTGAATTTTATACTAATTGAACTTGAAAAAGAAATTTAATTTGATTTTTTAAATAAACGATTTCACCGATTTACACGCGTTTTCCCTTGACCAAATTTTGACCGTATCACCCTTTATCAACATTTTCATGCATACATTTATTTTAGGCACTTTGGTTCCATGCACATGCTCGCGGAATAAATCGACATGCTGGTCGAATTCACTATCGCATGGAATATTTGGCGAGGAAATCAGACGAACGAGTTATCAAACGGCGTCGGATTGAGCAACCAAAGGTTAATCATCAGGAAGAGAATGCTTCTGCAGTCGAAGAGCCTTGCCTTCAAGCTATCAAATTGCTGGTAGACCTGAAAATCTGTTTATTTCGGGTTAGTTGGAAATTCATTTTTCTTACGTTTTTTTTCATCAGATTCAGGAGTTGAAATTTACTGTCCCAAATTGAGCAAACAAGTTCCGTGTGGTGGAGTTATGGAAAGCGACATTCAACGATCGTGAAGCTTCTCGTTCTGAAGACGGCGAAAACACATTCAGCAACTATTTGAAAGACTTTCCGGTATTAACTGCTTACAATGGAGAACTGGTAAGAATATAGTCATCTTTTAAAGGCACAGTTAGTTTGGATGTCGGTACAGTAATTTGTATTTATATCAGTTGACAAACTTTACCTTAAGATAAGTTTTTTAAGTGATAGGTCACGTCACGAATAAATATACAAATTACAAATTACAGTGACTACATCCCAACTTTTTTTCGTGATCACTATTCGTTAGGTATTTGAAGAAAAGAAATTTGTTTATGTTCTGTTTCTGTTGACGTTTCCTTCTCATACCGTTTCCCAGAGTTACGTTGCTTACTGCATCGCTTGCTTCTTGAGATGCTGCCTAATCTAGATGAACATTTCAGAAGGTCTTATCTGCATTGATCGATTCTCTGCATTGACTTTTCTCTTTCGTTAATAAATCAGCTGCAAAAACATTCGCTGTTCCGATTGATGTTTTGGACGCTAGATAAGAATCTCCTTTATCAAACTATGTGGCAAAAATAGCAATAAATTCGTCTGAAAAGCCGTTGTTATCAAAAGAGAAAGTCGATGAAGAGAACCGATCAACGTAGATAGGACTTTTTGAAATGTTTATCTAGACATGCTTCGTAACATTTAAAAAGGCCCTATCTTTGTTGATCGATTATCTAAATCGACTTTCTCGGAGCAACAACACAAAAAATGCAAATGCAATTGCATTTCGTAAGGTCCTATCTGAGTTGATCGATTTTCTCCATCGTTCCAGCTGTAAAAACAAAGGTGATGAACTAGCCAATCTGTTAAAAATCACCAAAACAAAGAAAAGAAAAAAGCTGCAAAAACATTCCCTATTGTGATTTATGTGTTGGACACTAGATAAGAGCCTCCTTTATCAAAATATGCGGTAAATATAGCACAAAATCTGTTTGCTGTTGTTATCAAAAGAGAAAGTCGATGAAAAGATTCGATCAATGCAGATAGGACCTATTGAAATGTTCATCCAAATTTGCAGTCACGTTATTCGCAAAAGAGAAATCGATGAAGAGAACCGATCAACGATGATTGGTCCCTTTTTTCTTTCATCTTAAATCTTTAAGGCATCTTAATAATATAATAAGCACCAGTCAATAGGCAATCACAATTACAACAGTGATGTAAAACTTTAACCATTTCATCTTACAGATAAGCCTGGATTACGCCAAAATCAAACCTGAATCAACATCTTTCTGTGAATATTGGGAACCAATCGAACTCGCAGTTTTGGAGCACCATTCGGATCAGTTCAAAGAATTACAAAATGGTAAGAAATTATCTCGGAAATTAATTAACAACGTTAGAAAATATTCAATAGCTTGAAACAATCAATTTATTTACAGATTTCGTTCGAGCGTTGTCGATAATTCGGTCGAAAAATCCGTCAAGAGGATCAAAGCGAAAGCAAGATACTACAAGTAAGAATAACATGAAGAATAACCCGCTATCGGGCATCATAGAGTGGGTACAGGTAAACAAATTGAAAATCTAAACAAAAATTAAAATAAATCTTAATATAATTAATTCAGATGGACGATGACCCTCCGCAAACTGCATCGATGATTCCTGTTTTGTACGTAAGAGGAGAGCCGTTGAAAAACAGCGAAGATTGCGTTATTCGCTGGAGCGAATGGTCCATTCCGGTTCTGGCAGAATTGAAACTTGCGTTCAACATACTTCTTGAGACATTTACTGTGCTCAATGTCCAACCAGCTCCAACTGACAGGCAGTTTTTTCTTTTTCTTCGCGGATCTGTTTTGCATACTGCTACTCTGAGCACCACGGGAGCTAAATTTTTGCATTCTCTTTAATCATTTATCCAACGATTTTCTACATTTTCACCTGTTTCTGAATGAATGAATTTACAAAAAAAAAAAATGTATCCCAAATAACGAAAACGCATCCAATACAAAACAAAATTAAATACGTTAATTCAAACTCATAATTACGTGTTTTGTTTTATTTTATTGAGAACCCAATTTTATTCCCACGGGCTTTTGAAATTAACAATATGTTCGGTAATTTAGTTTTACAATTAGTTCAGTAAACTTTACCGATCTTTTCGTATCATTTTGACAGCTGATTTTCAATCAGAATTACGGACAGTTCGGTAATTCTAAAATTTACCGAAAACATTACCGACCGCTCAGCGGTTGAGATTTCGGTAAAATAATTACCGAAGTCGGAGATATTTTCTAAGTGTGTACCCTATTGCTTAGAAAAACCGGCTTTCGATCTGAGGTCCGGAGGGTATACCATTCGACTCAGCTCGATAAGATCAGAAAATGTCTGTATGTGTGTATGTGAATGTGTGTATGTGAATGTGTGTATGTTGTTTTATTTATAGTAAAACGGAAGTTTCAAAAAGCCAATTGCTTTCGAGCACAAATGCAGCAATACTTTACGCATGCAGGACCTCGTGAGTGGAGTTTTTATGATTACGAACAACATAATAACAGTACAATACAAAGAGCGAACGAACATTTTTTGTTCCGAATATTTTTGGTTACGTAATTGCATAACCAAACGTTACCATTATTACAGGGCTGGGTTTTACCCACCAAACCTATCTTACTCACCTCTAGCCAGGATATCCGCATCACAATAGTAATGCCCCTCTCTTTCACTCGGCTAGCCGTCGTTGCTACTTCGCGTCTCTCCATTTTCGCTGCAGCTCCGACAATATACACGGTTAGAAAAAAGTACCCAAAATTAAGTTCTTTTCACTCATCTCGGCACTATAGTGCAGGAACCCAAAAGTAGGTAAAGCGGGTCAAAGTAATTTTCATTTATTTGTGTGCAGTTCGTATGGAATTTTCCACTGGCTTTTTAACCAAAAGTAAGTTAGTTGTACCCCACAGTAGTTAAATATGATTATACTCAACGTTGGGTTCCCACACTTTACTACCCCTGTTGGGTGGTTTTGCTCGTCCGTTTTTGACAACATTAGTAGGAGAAAAGGAGACAAACTATTCAAAAGTACGTAAAAGTGAACTGGCCGTTGGGTACTTTTTTCTTACCGTGTACATTCCACGGCATTCCACGTGCCTCATCTCAACACATGTCGTTGACGGTATTCTTCTCCGCGTTAAGGGCAGACATTAGACTGGCTCGCACATTTATATGGGAGATTTTCTGAATTTTTTTTTTCGGCAAGTTGCATAAGCTAGATTACCATTAAAAGAATAAAAGTTCGTATTTTCCACAGGCCAACATCCAGACTCGTGTCAGCAGATTAGATAACCACTTTCTGAATGTTTCAGCTGTTTTTGACGCAACACGGACTGGTGCCTTTGGTTTAATGTTTATTTAGGGAATTTGGTTAGAATTTTCGTATACAAAATTCTCGAAGCGAAACCGCCTACCAGTCTACAGCAAAGTTGTTACTCCTTGTTTGAAATACAAGTTTTAAAAATCTGAATCAAATCGACATTAACGAAACTTTTTCATGATCGATAGAGAGTAGGAGTTTTATTTCTTCTTGTATTTTATCCAAAATTCAAACTAAAAGCGCCAGCTCATCCTACAACCAAATGAGCTTAAACTTTCAGGGAATGGTTTTCTCACCTAAAGGCACAAATCTAGAGGTTGGCCCGTGGAAAATTAGAACATTTATTTTTGTGGACCAGTCTAGGCAGACATCTTCGCACTGCTTAAAATCTAGGGCAGCCAAAGGCCTTGTGCTCCGGTGTTTCCTCCACATTTCCACACTCCAAACAGAGGGGTGACGTTGCGTGTCTGAACCGATGTAGGTCAGTACTGTTGTCGTAAAATTTGGGTGCCACATATACAGTATTAATGCCATGTACGCCATGCAAAGGTGATCGAAATTGTGGCGGCAGAAACATTCGAACTTTGATTTTCGTACATATATTTAATCAATACCAAAATTATTCAAGAAAAGGGTTAAACAAAATACTTCCGAAAGCTTGATTGCATTATTTAAGTTTATATCAATTGTGAAGAAAAACACGCACCGATCGATTAGAAATGATACAAATATGTATGCTGTGAAATTATTCAACAGATTCGAAGATTGATATAAGAAGATTAAGTTAAAGATCTTAATGGGATTTTCCATTGGCGTAAAGATCTATAGTAGCGCCGTCAACGCCAATTGCAGTTTTCAGTGCCAAATGGGAGATGAAAAAACATTTTCGTTCGTTTTCGGGGAGAGATATTTTCACAGTGTATAGTACACGAGAGAGGATATATAATTCGATAGTGAACATGCACAAGGGCGTATACGCGATAATCGATTCTCTTCATCGATTTTCTCTTTGCATTTCTACAGCTAAGCGAAACGATTTTTTTAGAATTTGTTCAATGCAGAGTTGTAACAGGTTGTACTGGCTATTAAAAGCACCGAGAAACGTTAATTCTAGCGAGTTATTAACAAGAGAGAAAATTGATTAAGAGAATCGATCATCGCGTATACGCCCTTATGCATGCTCACTGTCGGATTATCGATGAACAAAGAGAGATGAAAATGTGACCGGTTTACAATTGATCATTTTGTCAAGCTTCTGCATTCATGTTCCATCAGATGTCACAGCTGTTGTGTGCGGTGACATCTATCGGAAACTAGACACAATCTGTTTTCCTATAATTGTTCACAGAGGACACTGAAGTGCAAAACATGTCTGGTACCTCTATATATGCATTTAGATTATTATTCGAAGTCCCTCCTTTTTTTAAAAATTCTGCACACAAAATAGCTCACCCCTCACAGAATTTTCCGCCGAATTTTATGTATGGGGTGGGGCATAAAGTATATTTGCGCAGAATATGTAAAAAAGTAGGGACTTAAAATGTTAAAGCAAATGCATATATAGATGTACCAGACATGTTTTGTAGCGTCAGGTACTCTATTTTGTAATCTGTGAAAGGGAAATCACAAATCGAGTGTCAACAAAATACATGGCATGTTGAGAGATTGAGCTCGTGAGAGAGAATTTCTCTCTCAAATTTGATTTTTTTTGGCTCTCTAGAGACTGGTAGTAAAGCAGGTAAAGTTGTATGGGAAAAATCATTTTTATTTAATTGGAGCTTGTTTAACATTAATTTCCGGGAAAAAACTGAACGACAAAGCCCCTGACTTATTTCTTTAGGTTGTCGTTCACTTTTTTGGACCTGAATATGCACCGAAAGCGAATTATTCCCACTTCTCTCAATTTCTATATGGGGATTTTTATCACTTCCTACCAGCGGAACAGCGCCATCTCTGTGAAAAATGGTCGAACAAAATGATTAATTCATCGAAAAGTAGCTTGAGTGAGAAAATGCTCATCATGCAGCTGAGTGCGAATTTGTATCTCGAACATAAATAATATAAAAAGATGAACCAGCCTATGGCTGAATGTATCGATAATAAAGATAACCTAACCTTAAAACTAATTACCGTTGACCCCCGCTAATCTGAACGACACCTCGTTCATAATTTTTTTTCTCAGGATTGTTTTTTCCGTCGATCTTGTTTTCCGTGCTGAGCACCAATGCTACCGACGTGCCAGGAAGGCAGCTCCCACACCTGGACCCTACCTATCGACCCATCAACTCATGAACCGGGGACCAACGGCTTTACTTCCCATCAGAAGGAAGGCGTGATCAGAGATGTTATGCCTCAGAACATCCTCGTTCATATTAACGGGGTTCATTTTTAATTTGAACTTCTCTCTTCTGGATGAAGTTCGAGGAAAGTTTTAAGAAAAGTTGGAAAAACATCCAGGAAACTTCCAAGACACGAATTGAGAAACTTGTGGCGAAAATTTAAATAAACTATCAGAAAAATTCGGATGTCACATCTAAAGGAAGCCAGAAAAGTTTCGGAAACCGGAAGTTAATTTTCAGAAGAAATAGCCATTTAATTGAACTTACTGGAGAAGATGAAAGAAACTTCCTGGAGACGCTAACAGATACTTCTTAAGGTAGATTGGAAGAAACATCTGAAGAAAGTCGGAAGTCAGTCGAAAGAAACAATGACATTATTCCGGAAGAAAGAGATTCCAAGGGGATGTTCTAATGATCCAGAAAATTTTCCTGATATTTCCTAAAGACTTCGCAATTTATCTGAAGTTTTCGGAACATTCCTGAAATGCACTTAGGAAAATTCCATAATTCCTCGAAATTCCTTGAAGGTCTCTGGACTTTCTTGAAGATTACGAAATCTCTAAAGTGCTCTCACAATTTTCTTTAATTTATTGTATCATCAACTTTGAAGTTCTCTGATCTTCCGATTTTTTTTAATTTTTAAAAGTTATCGACACTGCCATTAAAAAGCATAGAACTTCCCATAAAATGTTCTTACAATGTTCTAATGTTCATGTAACTTCCCTTACGTTTCCTAAATTTGCATGAGTCCCTCAGGACATTGCTTAAGTTTTCGGAAACTGCCTGAGTTTCTCGGAACTCCTTTATAATTTCAGCAATTTCATTAATTAATTGACCTGTCCTGATGTTCTTTGAGCTTCACTAAAGTTCCTGCCCATTAAATTTCGCTGAAGTTCTTTGGACTTGTGGAGTTTCCAAAATATTTATGATGTTTTCTTAAGTTCACTGGAGTTCGCTGGACTTTTCTGAAACTCCCGGGTTTTCGAATTTTAACTGAAGTAAATGAAACTGTCTATAATTTATCGAAACTTACACAAAAGTCTGAACTTTTCTGAAGTTTAAGAACTTCTTAAATCTGCCTGCAGATCAAACACCATAACAAACTTGAACAACACATACGAACTTTGCGACTGTATTGCATATTTTACAGCTGTCGCTTAAGCGGGACATACAAAGCTGCATCGACATTAGCGTCAGAGCA